GTTTTATCTGAGCCGCCCTGAGTCCCCTCAGGGAAAAGGGCGGCCTACAAATTCTAATAAAATCCTTAAAAAAATCCTTCTAGAAGACTCATACTGGAATGAGACAAACCTATCCCCAGAATGGTCAGATTAGTACACTCTGGAAGAAGAATGGAATGTTTTGGAAAATGGAATATTCAGGCACTAGAACATTTAAGGTTTAACATTTTTGCTTAATTATTTCCTGCAAGGTAATTTAAATATAAAGCACATATTCATGTATTAATTATTTTGCTTAAAATGAGTAGTTGGATAAAACATTTTGAAAGCTTATCTTATTGAATGTTCATTATGGTAAAGTTTTTATTGATATATTAATAACAAATGACATGGTTAACTGTTTTTATGTTTCCCCTTCTTCTCTTCATAGAGTTCTCAGTGTTTTTCAGCATCAAACTCCATAAACCATGAATTAACCAGCATAACTCTGAAGGATTTAGTATCTTCTCAGCCTCCAACCTTAAGAACCACTTTACAGGAAGGTTTTCAAGAATGTAATCAAGAACAAATAGAACAACTCAAGTCAGAAATCAGTGCCATCAAAGCTAACTACAAAAGCATGAATGGAGTAGGCGAAAACTATAATTTTCTTCTCAGAGACATATTTTTAGAAATGGTGTTACTAACTTAGAGTCTTCAACCATGGCCTAAACTAATATTTTAACAGTTTCCAAATATACATGTTATCTTAGTTCAGACCTTAAAAACAAGTATTTATGATAAGCATTTATTACTTATAAGCTTCAAATTAGTGTACTGTATTGACCCAATAGAAATTAGAAGGTCTAAGAATAGAAAAGGCTGTTGCACAAAGTTGCAAAATTGGAATATTTTTGAAGTGAGGAGGCACATTTGCCTTTTGTTTTTCTTTTCCACTTTTTCTTTCCCTGTACAACATCTTTCTACATATCCTATCTCAATCCAGCTTTCTTCCTTTTCTTTGGCTCTGTTGAAATGAGGAAGAGGAAGATGTGTGTATTTGAATGGCCCTATGAGAATGAGGAGAGAAAATTAATATTTGTAATTAATTAACATCACCTAGTTGACACTGACAGCTATGCAAGAGCATATCTGGTTAATAACTGAATCGGATACCTGAAATGTCACAACCATTCCATTCATTGTTGCCAAGGAAATAACATGGACTGTTTCTGAAGTCACAAAAGAATCATCATTGACTCAAATAATTTCTTTTTAATTTTAATTAGTATTTTTTATATTCACCCTGCTTTTGGGGAAAGGAGATAAGCGTAGCTCTTGACAGACTTATATACATATTACGTATATATGTGCAAATGTATCACAAGCATGTATTTTCTCCAGGATTGCTATTCAGATAGGGTTTGGCAACCCTAATTTGAAAAGATGGGCAAGCTGGCTATTGCACAAGAATTACTTCATAACTATGTGGTTTGTCAACAAATATCCTGTCACAACAGGACATGTTATAGAATTCTCAGAAATGTTTAGAGGGAGTATTGGGTAATTCCACTTTCACCTGGTCTTACGACGTTACTTTAGCCCATGTTGTCCATCTGTCCTAGTTTTTAAATTGATTCTCAGTGTAAGAGCCAAGATGTCAAAAGTACACAGATATTCAAAGAATAACTATTCATTGATTATTATTTTTTAACATTTAACCCTTATCTGGGCTAATGATCCAAGATATTCTTCAGCCTATGACAAAGAACAAAATTACACACTTCACACTTCTTTTCAAAAATATCCAACCAGATTGCATTATTAAAGTAAGATTCAACTACCAATTGGAATACTACTTGTCTCTGAATATCTATCAGAGATAATGCCTTATTCTGTGTAATGATGAGACTGGTTTGTTTAGGGTTGTGTTTGACCTTGGGGGGCCGGGTGGGTATGGCTAGGCTGACGGTGGCCAGCTCAATGTCACTCGTGTCAGGGGCCCTTGTGGCTTGAGTGGCCCAGATGGCTTGAGTACTTGCGGCCCTCCCGAGATCCATTTTCACTGGCAGGAGGCCATCGCAGCCAAAAATGAAGCTCAGGAGAGCTGCACCCAGTTCCATTTTTGCTGGCAGAGGCAGTGTGGGCCGATCCATTACTATTTCCAGGGTAGCCCTGCAGGCCAGATCTAAGCACCCCACAGGTTGGATCCAGCCCCCGTATCTTGAGTTTGACACCCCTGATTTAGGGTGTATTTTTAATTCCTAGTCAATCCCCCAAATATAATATATCTAACATGCTCATATCCACAGTTAAAGAATGTAATTTTTTTCTGTAAAATTCAAGTATAATTATCTAATCGTTCTAGAGCTCACTGAAAATGAGTGTGACTCCAGTGAACACCAGTGAAATGGTGCTGATAATTGAAAAATACATTTTAAAGGCCAGGCACTTCTTAAATAATGTTAAAAGAAGGATAAAATTATAATTTGGTCATTGATGCCTTGATTGTAACACTACTAAATCACTACTAGACAATTCAGTGTCATTTTTATTATCACTATTTTAATTCAGGATAAAATGTTTAGGAGCTTGCTACAAATCTGGATTTGATTGTAACATTTAGAAAATATTCCATACTCTGTCTTAAAACCATATTTGGTAGAATCTCCAAGCTCAGCTGTCATTATAAGGAAGTTAAAAATGTAGTTATTTAAATATGTTTAAATGTTACATTTTAAATATGTTTAAATGTTGCATTTTAAATATGTTTAAATGTTACATTTTTAATCTGTTAAAATGTTTTTCCTTCATTCATTTTTCAGGAGGAAGGCGCTAACTGCATGACATCAGTAACCAAGAGAACTTTAAATGTTACTCAGATTCATTTAATGTCGGCTCTTGAAAGTACAAAGCCCTCCATTAGTCAAGTAGACTGGAATAGGTTTGCTGAACTGTAAGTATCTGAGGAACATATGAAGTATTCTTTTTTAATGTTGCCCACAAAAACTCTGCAAAACTATTTAATTTAGTCTATTTCAAAAAGATCAGAAATATATTAAGGATCTTAAAATTCACCGAAAAAATATGCATACAGTCATACACATAACTCTTGCACAGCTTTTCATCTTGTAAAATTGATTGTATGGTGGCACGGATTAATTTCCCTACAATCCCTATTTATTATACATATAGATTTTGTGTTTTGTGCAAGGTTTGATTAAAATGTTCCAAAAAATCTAGGCAAGGGAACAATCTTCCTCCTGTGTGCACATTGAAAAGATGTTTCCACAGTGTGTTGTTTTATTCTCAGAGTACCAGAACTATGAAGAATGTTTTCTTTCTTAACATTTATCATTAAGATGATCCGTACTTTCAGTCATCTTAGGTTATATTCTACAACTTTCATTTTTTCTTTTTGCCCTTGGGATTTTTCTTTTTTCCTTTGTTATTAAATGTGGACTTTATCTTTCATCTGTTTTGCTTAGGGCCTCGGAAATTCCCTAGGAAATGCTCTAGAGGCATTGAATAAATAATGACCAGACACATTATTGCCTTTTGTACCTTGTTAACTGTTGTTCATTTGCAAAGCTTTGTTTGTTCTGATACCAAGAATGCTTCTTTGGTTCATGATTCTGATTCTACAGCACTGTCAATGGATCTAACTAAATTAACATGATCATGTACTTAAGTTTCAGCAAAGTCCATCTTCAAGAATGTTCTCATAATTCTTAGTATTTAGCATAATTGCTAAATATAGCAATTTCACGCCGTTGCTCTTAAAGTTTTGGATCCCAGTGATAGTAAAATGCAACAAATACTTGGCCATTAATTTGATAAAATTTCTGTTATTTGCTTAGTTTTTAAGTATTTATATTAGGTTTTATATACAAATACAATATAAATAATGATTCATGATTTTAAGTCTATTTCCAAAATTGAAATCCAGAATTTGAAACTTGTTTTTAATCATACATAGCACCATTTCATACTCTCTTTGTTCTCAAGCCTTACAATTTAAGAAGCTCAAAATATTAATGTGCTTGGTAATCTATAAAAGAAGAGTACTTGCAACAGTTCCAATCTCATTTTCCAACAGTTCCAAGTTAAATTAAATATGCCCACACCCCCTATCAATACTGTTAGTACTAGGGAAAGATCCTTTCCCTAGTACTAACAGTATTGATAGGGGGTGTGGGCATATTTAATTTAATATCTGAGCTATAAACATTTTGGTTCTGTAAAATTAGAAACAATAGAACTGAAATGTCCATTAAAGCTGTGAAGTCTATCCCCCTGCTTAGTACAGGAATCCAATTGAAGCATCCAGTAAATATTCCTATCTGTTCTGACTAAATCCAGAGGACAGAAGTCTTACTAGTCCACATTTTTGGTTTTGTTCTACCCTTGTCGTTAAAAAGGAGGGGTCCATCTGTCCCCCAAGATTCAATTTGATTCTGCTTTCCTATAATTTAAATATATCATTCCTTTAATCTTGTGGATGAGGAGGGGAAGAGAGCAGGATTTGGCTTTCTTCTGGTGACAGCCTTTCAAATATTTGGCTAATAATGTTACCATAACCACCACCACCCCCCAAACTGGACCAAGCTGGATATCAACTATCTTGTAGCTCTGCAATTGATTTATGCTTTCTGTGATTTGCAGTCACTATTCAATCTTCTACTATCTGCTTATCTTCATTTTACTAAATAATCATACAAAAATCTAAACATCATCATTGCTCTAGCCAGTTCTCTTCACCCTGAGATAATTATTTGTGACTCAGTGGCTTACTTTATAATCTGTAGGCCATTATTAGGAGACGTGGTGGTTAAGACACTGAGCTTGTTGATCAGAAAGGTCAGCAGTTCAGCGGTTCGAATCCCTGGTGCTGCATAACAGAGTGAGCTCCCATTACTTGTCCAGTTTCTGCCAACCTCGCAGTTTGAAAGCATGTAAAAAATGGAAGTAGAAAAATAGTAACCACCTTTGGTGGGAAGGTAACAGCGTTTGGTGCACCTTCAGCATTGAGTCATGCCAGCTACATGACCATGGAGATGTCTTCGGACATGCTGGCTCTTCAGCTTTGAAGCAGAGATGAGCACCGCCCCCTAGAGTCAGGAACGACTAGCTCATATGTGCAAGGGGAACCTTTACCTTTAGTCCATTATTATACTGCATCTGTAAAATGTTTTTTCTTCAATGGATGCATAACAGGAACTTAATTCTTCAAGATGGCACCATCCCAGTAGGTATTTGCAGTGCTTTGCTCCTAATAGTCTTATGTTCCTCTAATTAGTTGATACTAATAACTTTGTTATCACTTCCTGTAATTTGAAAACTTTCCGGACAACCAATAACTGTTCATTTTGATGCTCTACCAACTGTTCAGTAGGCTGTCTCAAAAACTCTTTTCTTCCAGTTTCTTCTGTGCTGCTGCTATTTATTCTCCAGTGTTATATTTTGTTTAAATCTGTATGTTTTGCTTTCCAGGGCACTAGTGGGTACTTTAGAATTAGATATGACAGAAAACATTCATGGAATTGGAGGATCCTCAGTTGTGTTGCACTTCTGTTTCTTGACTGCTAAGTTAATTGTATCTTAATGTAGGATATTAATGATACTTTATTACCTACCAAGATATATATGGATACACACACACACACACACACACAACAGTCCCTTTGTATGTCAGAATCCTTTGACCAGAAATTAAATACCACCATCTCCAAATAAGTGATTGAGTATCTAGCTACTCCATTAAAACATTCCATGCAACTGACCATATACTGTCTGCTGTGCCAGGATTTCAATTATACTGAAATCCTGGAAAATCCATCAAGTGAGAAGAAAGCTTTCTGGTTATCTCCCTGTATTGTATTGTCAACCCTTTGAAGTACACCAGGTCAAGGAACAGTCTCCAAAGGAAATGATCTGTTCTTTATTGATGTAGGTTATAGCAGTGGTCTCCAACCTTGGCAACTTTAAGACCTGTGGACTTCAACTCCCAGAGTTCCTCAGCCAGCAAAGCTGG